CGGGCCTGTGGGCGCAGGGCCACCTGAGTATGTCGGGCCTGTGGGTGCAGGGCCACCTGAGTACGTCGGGCCTGTGGATGCAGGGCCACCTGAGTTTGTCGGGGCTGTGGGTGCAGGGCCTCCTGAGTTTGTCGGGGCTGTGGGTGCCGAGGCTCCGGCAGGACCAGCAGAGAAGGCTGGAAGTTTGGCTGCTGTCCCTGGAAATGGTGGACCAATGAGCATTCCTCTATAGAAAGCAGATGTTGTTGGAGCATAAGCAGGACCCAATATTGATGTCTGACCAAAGCCTGCAGTTGCAGGAATAAAGGGAAAAGACCTAACTGGAGGTTGAAATATGAAAATCTGTGGAGCAGAAGCAGGTGGTGACGAAACAGACGCAGGCAGAGATGCTCCCTGAGCAACATTGGAAGAACTGGATGGAAGAGGTGGTGATGGAGAGGGGGGTGACACTGGAGCAGGGGGTGGGAAAATGAAAATGTTTGGTGGTGCAGGAGCAGCCGGAGCCGATGAAACTGCAGGGGGCTTAGCCGTGGCTGTTGGCATTGAGGGACTCAGACTGGGAGATGGACCTTTTTGTGGGGGAACAATGATAACATATGGGGAGTTACGAGAAGAGGTTCTTGTGGTACTACCTCCAAATGATCCAGCAGCTGGAGGCTGGAATTGGGGCAGAAGCATTGGTGACTGAGGGACTGTGGAACCTGCTGAAAAAGAAGGATTGGAAGCCCCTCGGAAACCTGCATTTGGACCAGTGAAAAATGGCATCTGTGGAAAGCCTGGCATGGTGGGCAGCTGGGGTGCTTGTGGAGCCTGTGGCCTCTGCTCTACAGGGGGCGAAGGAGGGGGTGGAAATATAAAGATGGGAGAAGTTGCTGGTGCTGCTGGGGGAGGGGCACCTGGTTTTGGAGGGGGTGGAGTGGGGGCAGGGGCAGTGGACGGCGACCCTGTGGGCTTCTTTTTCCTGATGATAAACACCGGAGGAAAGGGAGCTGTCTGAGTGGAGGGTTTACGGTTGGATGAAAGATGCCTCAGAGCTTTTTGAAGTCTTGAGCTTTTGTTGTGCTGGTCCTTCAAGCCCTGCATAAAAAGGAGAACGGTCTGTGTGTGCACCCCAAAATTAATATTCTTAAAGCCATTGGAGCAAAGTCCCTAAATCTTTCAAGCACCTTAAGACAGATATCATTTTAGAACTACTTAATATATATCATATTTTGACGTGTAATAATAAAACATTCAGGAATTTCTATAGAAACATTATATGAATATATTTCAGTTTATTTTAATGGAATTTCAAGAAAATTGAGAATATTCACTTCACTCTACAAAATCATGGAAAGAGCAATTGCAAACCAAAAGGAATCAGAGTTTGTTAGTTATATTGACAACTGAGATGAGTTGCCATTATACAGTAACTATATGAAGTACTATCACTGTGGCTCTATCAAAAAGATATAAGACGGAGTTCCAAGCCTAGGTCCTGGTGGCTCAAGTGACTGCTGTTTTTTTTGTGTTTCACCTAAATTCTTGAAAATGTCAATAAATTGTTTTCAGTTCTGAAAATGTTAGATTTACCCAGAAATATTTTAAATTAGCTGGCAAATTCTGGGTTATGCAGTCCTGGGTTTGGCATTATATTTAATTAATTGGTCAAAAGCAAAAAAAAATAAAAGCTTTTTGTTAATTGTTCCTGCAGTAATCACAAAAATGTTGTGAAATAGAACACTAGCTATTTATTTACAGTAAAACTTTCTTACAAAATATATGAAAATATATATGAAAACCAGAGGCATAATACTTTTCTGGGGTAAACTAATTTCTATTGATAATGCTGGGATCACACTCTTTAAACACAACATGTGATTATCTTTATGCTTTAACTTACTAATGTATGCTATTGTTCAGCAAGGCATTCTTGAACTCAATTAAGAAGTATGTAAGTACCATGGCAATGTCCAATCTTGTTGAATAATTTAAATCATTACTCTAGGGCAAAAAATCTAGACTGATTCATACAACTTGATTGCAGTGGGCAAAGGGTGTTCTCGTGGCTGTAAATGATTTTGCCAGCAAGTGAAGACAAGAGTTTACCCAAACATTTAGTATAACATCAAGTAAATGAGAATGGCTTGTCACATTGTTCTTTATGACTTATTTGCAGCACTTCTGCTTTGACTTTAGAACATGCTGATACAGAACTTTAACACTCCAATATTTTGTTCTCTACACCAACATTTTCTCTCCTGTCTGAGTGATGACAGAAACACATCATAGTAATGTAGTTTTTACGGGTTTGGAGAGAGATGAAAGAAACATTTGAACATAAATCAAACTGGTACGTTAGAGCAAATTATGTGGCAGCTAAGCAGTCATATTCATAGTTCATATCAACAGTGTACATTGCAATTTTCTTTTATTTTTGTCTAGAATACCATTCTGTGTGTGAAGATCCTTAACTGTAAATCTGTTGAGTTTAAAGCATAAATGAGTAAATAATTGAAATGAACAATAACTAAGTTGTAATGCCTTTACCTATTAGTAGACAGATACAATTTTGTAATGTGTATTGATTGATCTTCCAGAAAAAAGACTGGAAAAATATTATGAACAATATACAGATATTTAAGTTGCATTGATAAATGAATAAATAATTATGCAATGCATTCCCTCATATCAAAATCATATAAGATTAAAATTTGATTATGATGCAATATGATTTATTGTGTAATGTATATATTTCATAATAACACTAACAGCAATAATAAAATATTTTGCTTACCAGAACACTGGGAGCTATGCCACAGAGGCAGAAGAAAATAATTAAAGTCTTCATTCTTCTGTTACTGGGTCTATAAATTAACACAAGAAAATGTTGTAACATCATGAATAATTATATCACAAATCAGCTGTGTGAAAGCATTCTTCATTTCCAAATAAATGCATTCCATAGATTAGCTGGATAATTACATAAGTGTATGTAATTCACATATTTAAGATGAAAATAAATTGTCATTATCATTATTAAATAATACGTATATGGAAATTACTTAATCAATAATACTAACATAGAGCCTGAAAACAGTAGTAACATTTTTTTTATTTTATGAAACTGTACTAAGTTAATAAAATAAATATAATCTAAATAAACATTAATACATAAAAAGTATTTTTAATTTAAAGTATTACCTTTATTTGGTGACAGAAGAAGTAGGCACTGTCTTTCAGGACAGTGAAAATTCACAAGCTTCTTTCAGTTCAAAGTTATGCATGTCTTGAATGTGAAAGCAGACGTTCTGGTAATGTATGGCAAATGAACACATCTGGGATAGTAGGTGTGACTATAACTCCTTGCTTCCTTTTTTAATTACCCACATATGAATTCCTGCCATATGAAGTAGCACATTACACAGTTAGTCTATCTGATGCTGCATTGAATACTTCAGAGAACGGTTGATGAACACATTATATTCACCTTTAAATGTCTCCAGAAAACATTTCTGAAGTTCCTTTTTCAACTCCTTACTCAAAACTTTTTCTTCTTTGTCACATGAATGCAAATTCATCCAATTACCAAAAAGTAGCTTGGGTTAAAGACATACATGTTATAGTTGATATTCTTGGATAAAAAACACTTTTTCACAAATTTTTTTTTTTTACTGTTAAATAAACTTCTCAGTTTCATGTGTATTTAAATTTTCTTGTCTCATTCTGCCTTTCAATTATGGAAAACAATTTTACTGATCATACATTTCTTTAAATAGGATAGTAGTAATAAAAGATATCCTATTTTAATTTTTTGAGAGGATGCCAGGCTCTCATACTACCATTCATCCATCCATCTGGAATACAACCTGGAGAGGATCACAGAGTCAATCACAGAGTACACACCGACGCAGACACAATTTTAATTATACTACCATTACTTTAAAAAAGACTTTAGATATTCTGTTTGTTTTTTTTTCCTGATGTAGAGACACTTGTCTTGTGAGCTTGCATTCCTGTGTTAACCTGAAGAGTGAGTGACGGCTCCCTTCTGTACACAAAGGTTGTGGTGTTTACATTCTGGCATCTTGTTGAAGTCAGGATGTTGCTGTTTTTTCCAAGTTACATGTGCATAAATAATGACATGGACAGTATAATAGTTGATGCATTATGGAATTATGTACAGTATCAGAATACTTAATCATTCCGATCATCAGATCAGTTTGGACCTAAACACAATCATAAATGATTACATAATATAATGTACACTGCTTTGTTCCGTATTATTTTTATTTGAAGCCTCAGTTTTATAGCTGTTTCTTTTATTTGTGTTGGGTGAAATGGGCTAGTTATTAAATGAATGCATTATAGAACAAACAGGACCTTGTGGTATTATTGAAAGAGCCATGAGACAACAGTATGAGCAGTGGTTAGGTTTAGGTTTAGGACCGTTAGGCTGTGGGGTCAAATCCCAGGTCAGAGACTGCTTGTGCAAGGCACTTCAACTTAACAGTTCCGGTAAAATACCCAGCTGTATAAATGGGCAAAATGTTAAACACTCTGGATTGAAGCATCAGCCAAATAAATTAGTTAGCAAAGGTACGAGATGTCAATGATCTGGACACAAAGCAATAGAATGGATTGAACTTACTTAATATTAGGAAATTCTGAAGTAGATCCTAGGAGATGGCAAAGACTAACAGCAAAGTCTCAGGAAACAAGAGAAGATGGAATGAAGACGTGTGGAAACGATGTGAAGGGGAAGGTCAGCAGAAGCAAATGTCTTTGACAAGCCTTTATCTAGCAGTGCACCAATGGGGATGATGGCAATGAAATAAAATGGCGATGGGCACTCCAGATCTTTGATAGCTGCAGGTCTTACTAATGATCTGCATGAGCAGAAGGGACATCTCTCATTTGTAACATTTTTATGTTCTTAACAGTTTTCATTAGAAAATACGTTTGACAGTCATTGATAATTTGGGGATATGAAAAAAATAAAAAATAAAATGAAAGTTCTGAAGGTTTGGTAATGAACACCAGTAAATATATCATGTTAAATGAATAACACTACTGTGAAGACTTTAGGCTATTCTCCCTTTTATTTGGATGCAGATTAATTACAAAACTTCATATATAAAAAATAATAATAAATGAATTATTTTAATATTGATTATTTTGTATAACAAAAACACAGTAACCAAACCAGCAAATTAACTTTTTGAGTATTTTATTGAGTTATTTTTTGCATTTAAAGGAAATGAACAATAGTCAGGTCTCGAAAATATTTAAGTGAAAAACCTTCAGAAATTGATTTGGCAAATACAAGTTTAAAATCAATATACTTTTGGATAGCTCATTTACAAAAAAGGACACTGCAGTAATAAAGAAGCATGAAATCATTTAATTCTAAAGACATTTTTCTAATGTTTAGGAAAGGAAAAAGCTTTTTATCTTTCTTTTTTCGTATTTGCTGAAGATCATATCTGCTGTAATGTATAAATTGTTCCAGTTTACCATTTGTTTTGTTAATATTATGTATGATAATACTGAACAAAAAAAAACATTCAAATTAATCTGAATGCACAGGTTGCTAATTTAAAAGTTTTGAAAGTATAGTGTTGTGTCTTTGGACACCCAATCATATACTGTACAAATGCTGTGCAACATTTTGTTCATTAATATACTTTACTTAACATAAGACTGGGAATACACAAACAGATACACAACTTCATTCGAACTGCCATGTCATGATGTTTTGTCAGAGGTGGACTGCAAGGAATGCTAAAACTCAGTTATTTTATCTATCATTAAACTCAGTTTTAATAGTGTAGATGTCTCAAATAGAAAACTTAAAAATACACTGGAAGTAATCTTATATAAGACAAATTGAATGATAGCAGCATTTCTTTCAAATTCCATTGTGTTGTCTGCATCTATCTAATTTGTATAAAATACAGGTTGACTTGGAACCATTCTCTTAGTTCTTCGGTAGATATAAGGTCTTCTGTTCAGCATGTCACCTGTTCTTCTAGATACTGTGGCAGTTGGTTTTCTGATGGAAAACTTGGGGACAGACCTTGCTTTTTCATTCTTAAAAGTCAATTCCAGGAGACCTGGAGATAAATTGTTCGTGGGAACTGGCGAGAAGGCTCCTGGGTAGATGAGAACTGGACCTGCTGCTCCATTTCTTGTGATTCCAGAGGTGGGCACTGGCTGTTCTCCTGGCTGATTGGGATCACCACCAGGCACTGAAGAAGAAAATGCTCCTGGTGTAAAAACAAGACGACCTCCAAAGGCTGTCTCTGTAGCTGTATCACCTCATACTGCCGCTTTGGGGAAAATGAAAAGTGGGCCTTCCTGACCTGAAGAATGAAGAAGCACCAGAGGGAGAGGCAGAAGATGAACCGGGGGCTGGAGGGAATATGAAAAATGGGCTGAGAAGGGGGTTATAGAGCTGAAGCAGGTGATGGACTGGGTGGGCTGGGAACAGGTGGAAAAATGAAGAGGGGCGACTGATCACCTGACTGCCCATTGTTCGAAGGTGGAAACACAAAGACTGGGGAAAGATTATCTTCCCATATTGAAGGATCAGATGAAGGAAAGTTTCCAGGCTGGTCTGGAATTGTTTCACAGGGGGCTTCAGCAGGATCCACAGCTGTAGGGCCTAATTCTGGATTCACTGGCTTGTACCCTAAATGGATGGATGGACCTGTGGATGGGAGTGAACCCTGGCCTGCAGAGATGGGTGGTAATTGCCCAGAAGAAGTTAAAGGGCCTTTGTCTGGAGGTGGTGATGGTAGTGGTGAAGGTGTCTGGTTGGATCCTTGAGGGAGCGAGACAGGAGCAGAACCAGACACAACAGGTGGTGAAGGAGCCTGGGCAGGAGCTGATGGAAATGATGAAAATATTATTATTGGAGAAGCTGGAGCTGGAGGGGCAGGAGGAGCCGGTGCCAGTTCAGGCTCAACAGAACCATCTTGAGGTGGATAAAAAGGTGAAAATATTATAATTGGAGGTGATGGAGCTGGAGCACTTCGAGTGCCAGGACCAGCTTGCCTACTAGAGAATGCAGGACCTGTTGGTCCTCCACTGGGGAATAGCGGGCCAATGGGAGGTGCTCCAGGGAGTACTGGGCCTGGGGGCCCAACAGTACTAGGCAATGTAGGGACAGTACCAGGAAGTCTTGGGCCTGTGGGTATTCCTCCGGGAGTTGATGGACCTGTGGATGCTGGACCAATGGGAATTCCAGGAATTACTGGGTCTACATGTCCAGCATTGGGCACTTTTGGACTGATTGGATCAGGACCACTTAATACAGGACCTGTGGGACTCCCAGGATCAGGAATTATTGGAGCTGTAGGTGGACCTGTGGGTCCAGTAGTTTCAGGTAGAAATGGAGAAGTGGGTACAGACATGCTAGGGAGTGTTGGGCCTGTGGGAATTGTTCCTGGCAATGTTGGGCTTATAGGTTTAGTGCCAGAGAATCCAGGAAAAGGTGGAAATATGGGTATTCCCCCATAAAATATAGGATCTCCTGAAGGCATAAGTGGGTCTCTGGCTGGGATTTCTAGAACAGAAGGAGGAGGTGGGAAAATGAATATCTGTGGGGGAGGTGCAGGTGCTGGTATGACAGAGGCTGGAAAAGGGGGCCCCTGCGCATCACCAGAAGTGGGTGCAGGTGGTGAAGAAGCTGACAAATCAGGAGCTGAAGCTGGAGGCGGGAAGATAAAAATATTTGGTGATGCGGGAAGAGAAGGAGATGGTGATGGTTCTGTGGTCTCTGGAACTGAAGGAGCCGGGGCAGGGGAAGGTTCTGGGGATGGGGGGAAAAGGATAAAAACTGGAAGAGAAGGAGAGCTTTGTGAAGGATCTTTTGGAACAGCAATTGGTGGCTTTGGTATTGGTTCTGGCCTTGGTAGTGATGGCTGTTGTGGAGGCACCGGTGGTGGCAAAGGCTGGGGCGGTGGCTGTTGTGGTGGCAGCAGTGGTGGCTGAGGCTGGGGCGGTGGTTGTTGTGGAGGCAGTGGCTGAGGCGGTGGCGGGGGAAATATAAAAATAGGTGGCGGAGGTGGTGGAGGAACCTTTGCAGGAGCTTCTGCAGGAGGAGGTGGGGGAGGAGCAGGCTGAGCTGGAGGCAGAGAAGCTGGAGGAAAGAGGAAGATTGGAGGTGGTGGAGCCAGAGGAGGTAGTTGTACAGGGGCAGGTGGTTGTGTCACAGTCCGTGGTTTAGTTTTTCGTTTGAAGATGAAGACTGATGGAGCTGGGGAAGGAGCACGAACTCCCCATGTATGTGGCTCAGCAGGACTATAGGAAGGGACAAGAGCAGGTTGTGAATGGACAACAGGTGCCGGCGGGGGAAATATGAATACTGGTGGAACAGGGGGAGAAGAAATAGTTGACGTAGCGGTGTTGCGTTGAGCAGGGGCAGATGTGCGTCTTGAAGGTCGGGAGGGAGGGGGGAAAATAAAAACTGGTGGTCCTGCAGCAGGTGCTGGAAGAGAAGTGCTGACCACAGGCTGTACTGGTGCTTGAGGGACCTGAGGCTTCTCTGTCCCAGTTTGGGATGGGAAAGAGGGAGAAGCCACAGACGGGATGATAAAAAGTGGTCTGGAGGAAGAAGGCTGGGAGGCTGCTGGTGCAGAAGGTACTGAACTCCCACTAGGTGGTTTGGTCACTCCACGTGGAGGGGATGCTTTCCTGGGCCGAATCACAAACACTGAAGGATAAGGTGCACGAGGAGCATTTAGAAAAGAGGGCTTGAGGCTTGACAACTTGGATCTCAAAACTCTTTGAACATCTGGAACTGTTCTATATTTTCCATCCAAACACTAAATTAAAAAAGTAAATATAGCAATAAACAGACATTTAAAATGGAAAAGAGACAAAAAAAGAAAAGAAAATTAATAGAACACAAAAAGTACACTTAGCCACAGTACTCATACAGAAGTTTAATTTTGTACTATTTATTTTTTTCTGAATAAAGTCACCCACTTAGAGGTAGTTTTGATATGTTAGTCAATCCCTTAATTATGGAGTAATTAATTAATAGATGCAGTGGTGTATCTGACTGAAACCCTTGAATTTGTGCAGAATCCTCTCTGATTTACCATTAGCTAGGAATTTAATCTTCCTTGTCAATCTGCCTAATAATTTTTTAAGGAGGAGGTCTTTTGCTATCAGATCAATATGACAATAAGACCATCAATGCTAAGAATATTTAGGAAGCCTTAATGTCAATCATGATATTTAGTCTTTAGTTTTAGTTGTACTTTGTAATTAAGCCTTGTTAACGTGCATGCTATTATTTACAGATGAAGAAACCCCCATACACACCCTACACTCTTTTAAACAACATTAAAAATGAAAAATAAAATAGCTTATAAAATAACTAAAACTAATTACTGTATGTGTAATTCAAAATAACAAACAAATAAAATAAGGTTAAAAAACGTTAAATGTACAGCATATTGTATAATGTGAAAGAAAGTTTAAGAACTTTTAACATTTACAATGTAAAATTCACTTCTCTTGTTTTAATGGAACTGGTTGATTTCAACATTTGATATTTGAAATACTCAAACTAAAGACCCTTTAGGTCTCTTTATGGATTATTTCTCCATTGTTTTATTGATGTACCTTTTTCCAAGCTTCCTTGTACTATTACGTCTTAAACTGTAACAATTAAAAACATCTGACTTAAATTTCCCTGTTAACCATATAATTAGTACATCAAATGTACACTAAAAGCGTATTTCTTATATTTCTAAAAACAATGAATATGAATTATAATGATTAATTTTAGAATTCTAGAATTTCTATATGATAATATAATAGATATATACTCTATATATGATAAAAAGTTTTGATGTATCACTCACCTTGGCCCTGTGGAATATGCCAAAAAAGCAAAGAAAAATAACGAGGCTCTTCATGTTGCAATAAGCACACCTGCACATCAGCAGAAATAAGTAATGTTACCAACTAAGCAAAATGCATTAGAAAATGTTCACCGAGACAGAGGATAAGACAATTTGAAATGGTCTAAAGCACTTCTGCACAAATGTAAACATAATGGTGTGGTAATAAACCATATTACATTTATGTATTAATTATTGCATTTACATTTATAAGCTTATTATGTAAAAATTACCTTTGAGTGGCTGAAGAAAAGGAATCATTCATACACTGGAGGGATTGGTTTCCTTTGCTCTGCTCAGTTCTGTGTACGCTCAGAAATTTAAAGCACCCTTTTGGAATTAGTATAACCACTGAACACAATTTGGTAAGGTAGGTGTAATTTCTACCTGTTTCAATCTGCTGTATAATATAATTATGCTTGTATAATAAGTGGCCAGTGATGAATTCCAAAAACAATGACTCATTTATTTGATGTTTTACTGGCCCAAAGATAATTATGATTATAATTCTAGGACAGATAGGTCACAAACATGTGAATGTTTTGAAAGAGCCTTTCTAGTCAGGTGAAAAGCTTTAGGCATAGCCCATGGACAGGTTTCACTTTAATCTGTTGAGAAATAATGTGGAAAAACTGTACTTTCTAAATTTCATGTTATGGTGGGGTTTGATTACCCTAACTTTTAATATAACGTCAACCCCAATGACAATCAATGATCAGACAACACAAATCAAAATGAATTACAGATAGGTTCATGACAGGGAACAGAAGTAATTCCTTAAAAGAAAGCATTTTAGATTCCAAATCATATGTTTTGCTTCTTCTCATGTACACAGCATGCTTGTTTTCACGGTTCAGTAGAAGAGCTCAGCTTTACAATGTGAGCAAGCAGAATCAAAGCACAATTAATGTCTTTCATTGTAAAATTTTATTCTTTTATCATTCTTCTTCAAAACTTTGTACACAAATTGGCATGCAATCAAAATTTTTTATATGCAGAAACATGTTTATAGGATGTGCATATTATCAAAAGTGTCTGATTTTACTTCTTGTCTTTCTATTTCACCTCTGCAGAGTTAATCCATTCTTTTAAAATTTTCCTCTATCTCAATCTTTTTCAATCATATATGGAAAAACTTAATTTTCTCATTGAGAGTTTGAGAAAAAATGCTGTGTTTTTTTTATTAGATCTATAGACAGTTGCTTAAATACAACTGCAAAAATTAAAAGGTATAAAAATATAAACCTTTGGACACCTTGTGGATTTGTCAAAAGGTGAAAAAGTTTAAACTTTAGTTAAATACAATGAAGATTATAAAATACAATTCATATACAATTACTGTATTTATGACTGGTTTGAAATTCACTTATCCATGTGTGCAATAATTACAATAGTTTTATGTTATTAAATAGATTTAATAAACAGAAAATATGTAATGCTTCATGCCACATGGTTTACTCAATACAAAATAAGACCACGGATAAATATAATCTTCACTTTGCATGTTATTAGATTACAGATAGATTACTACAGATAGATTCACCACTTAAAATGCATTTTATGTTCATGTTAATAATTTGTGTTTCATGAAAAATGACCTCAAATAGTACATGGAGCATGTTTCCAATCCTACTTATTTGAAAGAATGTCTGAATTGTCTGCCTAATATATTTTCGTAAGTGTTCTAAAACACATCTGTTTAATTGTCTGAGCATTTCTGTGGTATATGAATCCATATTGGTCATACAAAACATTTGTTTAATTTTATATGCCCTCAGGTGTAACACAAAATGTGACATCTACGTAGTGTGAGGAGAGGTCCTCTGACAGCAGCTCTAAGGCCAGCAGCATGGAGCCTCAGAGTCCTGTCACTGATGAGGGCATTGTCTGCTGGCAGTTTCACCAGCAGTACGGGTGGAAGATCTGAAAAGATCTCTCAGATGGACCAGTCTGATGTGACAGACCTACTCTGGTGTCTTCACTCGAGGGTGCCCAGATCTTGGAAGGTCATCTGTCCTTTCGGTCTGCTGAAACCTTCTCTGCAGTCAGGACACAGTGGAGTGGCTTACTCCATAGTGTCTGGCAATGCTGGCACATGACATGCCTTCCTGCAGCAGGCCAATGGCCCTCTCTTTTGCTTCTGGTGAAATTTGAGGCATTATGGAATACACAGAAAACTGACTAAGTGAGGCAGTGACCTTAGCTTTGAATTAAGGCCTTTTTAAAGGTGACTTGATCAGGCATTGTTTCACTTGGATCTCATTGGGTAAAAGTTCACCTAACGAGCTTTCATGTGATTGGCAAGTTGCAGTGCCTCACTGCACAAGCTGTATTGCTGGTCAGAGGGCTTAAAACAAATTTACAACTTTTTGTGAAAGTACATAAGCTATAACTATAGAATTCTCATTCCAGGAAATTTTGCGTTTCTTTTTTCCATTAGTATATTTTCTCTGGACACCATACTGTAAATGCCCACTGTTGAAGGATGATTTGGATGCACATTAGGTAATAACATAAACTGTGCAGTGGCTTAATGTGTTATAAATTTCATATGGATTTTAGTCTGGGTTGGTAAAAGTAAATTTGTTTTAAACCAAAATGTGCAAAAAAGAAGAAAACTGGGAATATGTATTAGTAATAATATTAGTTTAATTGTACATAAAGTCTTTAACCAAATTATTTCAAATGTTAGGAAATTCAGATCTGCGCGGACAGAAAAACTTTACCCCTATTTGGATCAGACCTTAGACAATAATTGATGCTCGTTTACTTTGGAATTTTCATTGATTTTATTTCTTTTTATGTTATGACATTTTTTTATATGAACACTGAATAAGCGACCCCCACCATAAGGATTTGAAGCTTTGTATTTTTAACTTTGCATTACATGACAAGCAACAATACATTTGGTTACATACAGTAGGCTTTTAAGACACATAATGTATAATATTTTTATATACTCATAAGATATTAAACCAATGTTTAAAAATACCTGTAGGTAAGCAAATGGTCACCTTTGTGATACAAGTAGAAAGAAAGTATATTTTCATGGGTACATATTTATCTAGAGAGTGATTCTCAGACAGGCATTGACAACCCTAAGGTGTCCAAAAAGATTGCATAGGAGAAACCCAAAACCCAACACTAAAAGTTTTGCAGTGAAAGCAGTGAATCAAATCAACAGCCGATAATGCTGTACTATGGTACATTCCACTACCGTTAACTTTTGAACTTCTGAGTAATTTTATTTCTCCTAATTTTTTTTCTTTTTTTAAAGATCTGTGGCCTTTGCTGAGACTGATCTCTTGAAAAAAACTAGATAACTGCCACAAAAATAGGGAATTCCTTTGTATGTTCTATCTACTGTGTACAATATTTAAGGCAATTTTAGGAAAAATAATGAAAGTTGTGAAAAATGAAAAGTATTACTTGTGCTTTGTTTCCTAGTTAGTTTCTATAATCAAGTTAGCTTGTTAATTATTCATTGGTTAAACATCACTACTGTATAATAATGTTGCTTATATAATTTTTATACAACTGGGACATCAAACAGTTCCTATCTTGGATACTTTGTTCATGGTGTCAGATTAATATTGAAATTGATTTATATTTTAATCTGTCGATCTACTCCTTTTTGTGATTATGTGAGCTATTATTGGATAATGTCATAATCATGAGATCATACTGCAGCCAAGGACACAAGTATATGAAAATGAACACTATTCAAGGGGAAATATTTTGCTATTTCTTTAGAATTGGTCTCCTCTAGGAGGTTGCTCTGGTGCCTTGGTTGTATCTGGTGCCTTGGTCGTATCAGGTGCCTTGGTTGTATCTGGTGCC